AGATCACACATTGCTTTTAGTCATCTGTTCTCTTTAGTCTCCATTAATCTGGAACAGTTCTTCTCCTTTTGTCTTTGATGACATTGATTTTTTTTTTTCTGAAGATTTTGTGACAGGTGGTAGATATCTCTCACTTTGGGTTTTCTGGTGTTTCCTCATGATTGGATTTGGGTTATGAATTTTTGGCAGGAATACTGCAGAAGTTAAATGATTTTCTTCTCATTGCATGGAAATGCACATGATCTTGTTTATGTTATTGCTGATATTAACTTTGAGCCCTGGGTTAAGATGATGTACTCTAGGCTTCTTTATTGTCAAGATGCTTTTTTCTCCTTTGTAATTAATATGTAATTTGTGAGAGAGATTTTGAAACTTTGAAAATACCCAGTTTCTCATCAGACTTTTCTCATGAGCTTTAGTTTCCATTGATGATTCTTACCTGATTCAATTATTACCATATTGCAGTTGCTGATTTTTCTTATTGCATCATTACTTCTGTATTTATTAGTTGACATTCCACTATAAGGAATGACTTCCCTTATTACCAGTATGGATTTATGGCTTCTTATTTTTTCAATGTATTATAATCCATTACCATGATTATTTAGTTTGATACTCAGATTGTCCCAGATTTGGCTGGTGGGAGCCTCTTATGGGTGGTATCTGTGTCCTTTTTAAAAAAGCCGGCTTTACTGAGCTATAAATTATATGCATATAAAATACATTTACATTACTGTCACTTCTCCCAGCTATGAGTCTACTTTCTGTCAGGTTAGATTTACCTTTTCTATGGTTTTATATAAATTTTGAACTATACAATGTACATTATGAACTCTTATGTCTCCTTTTGCTCAGCATAATGTTTTTCAGACTCGTCAGTATTGTTCCATGTATCAGTAGTTTCTACCTCTTTATTTCAGAATAGTTTTCTCTTGAATGGATATCCCCCTGTATCCATTCATTTACACATGGATATTTGGCTTGTTTCTAGTTTTTGGCTATTATGAGTAATGCTGCTATGAACATTTGTGTACAAGTCTTTGGGCATGTGTTTTAGTTTCTCAGGTAAACACCTAGGAGTGGATTATTAGGTGGTAGGATGAGTGCATATTTGACTTTAAAATAAATTGTCAAGGGGCGCCTGGGTGGCGCAGTCGGTTAAGCGTCTGACTTCAGCCAGGTCACGATCTCGCGGTCCGGGAGTTCGAGCCCCGCGTCGGGCTCTGGGCTGATGGCTCGGAGCCTGGAGCCTGTTTCCGATTCTGTGTCTCCCTCTCTCTCTGCCCCTCGCCCGTTCATGCTCTATCTCTCTCTGTCCCAAAAATAAATAAACGTTGAAAAAAAAAAAAAAATTAAAAAAAAAAATAAATAAAATAAATTGTCAAATTGTTTTCCAAATTGGTTGTACCATTTTGTATTTTCATCAGTAATGTTTCGTTCCTTTGCTATTTGTTAGGTCATATGTCTTCTGGAATTTTCCATATTTTGGACTTGCTGATTGCTTTGTTATATTTTTTTTTAACACGTTCTTGTGTCTTTTCTGGATATAATTTTTAAGGTTTGATTAGATTCAGGTTTATTTTTGTTTTGGTAGGACTACTTCTGAATGTGTATTTCTTACAGCAGTAAGAAAAAATTAGGTGTTTCACTTTTAGTTGTATTAAGTTTGAGTTGGTTCAGGTATTGTTAGCCTTATCCATTATAAACTGTCTCATCAGTCTTTCATTTCCCAGATACATTATTTCAATGGGATTTCTCACATCTCAGAAAGCCGAGGAGGACAGGAGGAGAATATGTAGCAACAATTAGATGAGCATTTGGTTTTATAGGTTTCTGAAATCTTAAGTCTGATAATTTAAAATTAAAAAAAATTTTTTTAAGTTTATTTTTGAGAGAGAGACACACACACAGAGCATGAGCGGGAAAGGGACAGAGAGAGAGGGAGACATAGAATCCAAAGCAGGCTCCAGGCTCTGAGTTGTCATAACAGTGCCTGGTGTAGGGCTCGGACTCACAAAGCCATCTGATCATGACCTGAGCCGAAGTCAGACACTTAACTGGCTGAGCCACCCAGGTACCCCTTAAGTCTGATAATTTTAAAAGCATACATGTTGTCCTGTGAATGGGGAAGGCTTAAGAAAATTTACAAACATAATACCACTCAAAAGTTTCCAATTATGTTATGGAATACTTTAAACACACAAAAGTTGAAAGAATTGTATAGTGAATACCTGTCTAACCACAACCTAGATTTAGTAATTTTGCTGTATTTAATTCCTCTATTTGTTGAATTATTTGAAAGTAACTTGCAGATAATCATGACACTTCACTGATATTCAAAGAAAATGCAGCACCTAGGAAAAACCACAGTAATTCCCTAGTATCTTCTAAAATCTAGTTATATTTACTCAATTGTCCACAAAAATGACTTTAAAATTATGAAACTTTCTACAGAAAAACTGACCTTTTTTTGCCTTTGTATCACAGTTTCTCATATGTATCACTTTAATATTTTATTCGAAAAGTAATATATATTCATAATATATTTTACTTATTAAATATTGGGCATATAAGAAAACAGGGTTGTAAAACAGGGTTCATAAAATGAACACTAGGGACTCAGGACCAAGTTTAGAAATGTATATTACCATTACCTTTGAACTTCTGTGTGCCCCATGCAAGTTCATCCCATTGCTTCCCTTCTCAGAAGAAAAAAGACCTGAATGTTTGTTGTTTGAATATTTTTATTTGAAGCTGACATTCAGTATGACTCCATTAACATATTCTGTGACAGTACATTTTTTTTGTGGCAGTAATTTTTAAACTTTAGTCTAATTTTCTTAGATTAATGCATATTGATGTATTTTTTTTCTTTTTTTAAACATTTTTTAAAATGTTTATTTTTGAGAGAGAGAGAGCAGGGGCAGGGGAGGGGCAGAGAGAGGGAGACACAGCACTTGAAGAGGGCTCCAGGCTCTGCACTGTCAGCACAGATCCTGACATGGGCTTGAACTCAGGAATTGTGATATCATGACCTGAGCTGAAGTCGGACACTTAACCGACTGAGCCACCCAGGCACCCCGCCCCGCATGTTGGTGTATTGTTGTAAGTCCTTACGTTTGGTTTTTTTCCCCCTGCTAAAGGGCATTTCAGTATTTGATAAAATCTCTTCTGTTGGTGGACATTTGGATTGTTTCAGTTTTTTTAAAGTGTAATAAATATTTACATTTTTATGCATGTTTTCCAGTAAACATGTACAAGAAGTTCTTTAGGGGTAATTTCTTTCTTTCTTTCTTTCTTTCTTTCTTTCTTTCTTTCTTTCTTTCTTTCTTTCTTTCTTTCTTTCTTTCCTTCCTTCCTTCCTTCCTTCCTTCCTTCCTTCCTTCCTTCCTTCCTTCCTTCTTTTCTTTTTTTTGAGAGAGAGACAGAGACAGCACGAGTGGGGGAGGGGTAGAAAGAGAGGGAGAGACAGAATCCTAAGCAGGCTCCAAGCTGTCAGCACAGAGCCTGACACAGGGCTTGAACCCACAAACTGGAAGATCGTGACCTGAGCTGAAGTTGGACACTTAACCAACTGAGCCACCAGGTGCCCCCTTTGGGGTAATTTCTTAAGACTGCAACCCACGAGTGCATTATGAAATTGGTGTACTGGGTGATGATCAGGTTTTTCCAAAAAAATTGATAGACTCAGAGTTCTTCACACAGAAAAATTTTTATGGCAGTTGTGTTTAAATTACAAAAAATTTGTGTGTTCCAGGGTGTGATATACAGTAAGGCTTACTGTGGGTTGAGGCAGAAGTGTTTGAAAAAAAACTGTATTAGGGTATACATTGAAGAGGATTTGCAGCATCTAGGCCAGTGATTCTCAATAGAGATGATTTTCCCCCACTCCCAAGGGGGCATTTGGCATTGTCTGGAGATAATACTGGTTTTCACAACTTGGAGGGGGTGGTGAGTGAGTGCTACTTGCATCTAGTTGGTAGAGGTCATGGCTGATGCTAAACATTCTGTAGGCCCCTACACTAGAGAGTTAGGTGGCTCAAAGTGTCAGTAGTACCAAGTTTGCAAAACCCTTGGTCTCTAAGGTATTTGTACCTTCAAATTTATTTAATTATTCCAATTTGTTTTTCAAAGTGGATGTGCCTGACTTTGCTCTCACTAATTGTATACAATGTTCTACCTTTTCTTCTTGATCAATATTTGATTAATTATAGGACCTGAAAGTATTTGTCAGACTGGGGTAGATCAAATATTCTTTGTCTTAATTTGCATTTCTCATGACCAGTGAGGCTGAACACCACTTTTTGCTTATTGCCCATTTGCATTTCCTGTTTGACTACCTATCTTGTAGCCATTTTTCCCACTGAGTTACTGTGTGTGTGTGTGTGTGTGTGTGTGTGTGTGTGTGTGCGCGAGTGCACGATAGTGCATTCTATGTGTATTCTGGATATAATTCTTATATTGTACTACAGATATCATCTCCCAGTTTGTTTTGTGTTTTCATTTCCTTTTTTTCTTTAAAAGGAATTTCTTTTACTTAAATAGAGATGTTTCTTTAAACATTTTGTAAAACTTTTTTAAGGAGTTTTTTTTTTTTTTAAGGAGTTTTATATAATGCACATTCAGTAGTCTTGGAACGTCTTGAATCTTGAATAGTACCGTCTTAACAAAGGACCTCTTCTTTTTTTAGTATATTATTTTCCTTATCAAAATGTTTTCTTTATGTCAATACTTTTGTGGACCCTCTTTCATGCCAGGGACATTTTGACCAATTCCTGTGAGCTGTCTTAAGTTAGTATCTATCTGAAGAATGCCTGGTTACTAACAGCTTGTTACAAAATGGGGAGGGGTAGTTGCCATGTTTTCATAAAAATAGTCATGTTATTTACTGTTGCAAATTGGAATGTATAAAAATATTTTTGTTTTTAAAAGGTTGGAGGCGTGATAGAGAAAAGAGAGACGATCAAGATGAAGTTTCCAGTGTGAGAAGTGAGGGTGGTAATATCCGAGGTTCTTTTCGAGGCCGAGGAAGAGGCCGAGGACGGGGAAGAGGACGAGGCAGAGGAAATCCTCGATGTAGGACATGAATTTTGTTAAATTAGATAGAGTTTCAAAAAGTGTGCAAGCCATCTGTTAGTTTTGCCCACTATCCCATATAATGTTTTAACTAATATTTTTTGTCTGATAATTAAGGTGGTTTTGTAATTGTTACCCCTTCAAATACTTGACTTTGGATTTTTCTTTATAGTAACTGTTTCTCTTTTAAAAAAAAATCTGTAATCACTTTTCTTTCTCTTTATTCACATCAAGTGAACTTCGATTATTCATATGGTTATCGAGAACATGGTGAAAGGACTGATCAGCCATTTCAAACAGAACTTAATACCAGTATGATGTATTACTATGATGATGGTACAGGTGTACAGGTGTATCCTGTGGAAGAAACATTGCTTAAAGAGTATATTAAACGCCAAATGTAAGTCGATCAGACATAGCAGATGGGATAGTAACATCAAACTTTAACATCGTTGATAGTGAATACGTTATAATACATTTTTAAGCCGTTTCTTAGTAAAATTGGTAGATTTTTAATAGTATTTTATGTTTTTTTTTCTAGGAAATGTTAGTGAAGTATTTTTTAAAAATTTATATTTGGTTTATGTTGTTACATAAGACTTCTGCTTTGTTTACTATTCAGGTATTTCTCTTTTTAAAGGGCCTTAGTTGAAAGAATATTGTCATGGTATATTAGGAGTGATTAAATATAAGAATATAAAATTGCCATATAGATATTTGATGTTGAACAAGTGAAGCCTGGCTTATTATTTGCAAATAAATGCTTATATTGAAATTCACAAATGAACATAAATGACAAAAAGTGGTGATAGATATATTTTTACTTAGCAAATGATTTCAAAATTCTAAGTTTGTTTTTTTAACTTTTAAGTTCTCTTTCTTTGTGGCACATATTGAAGGGGAACTACCTAATCTTTTTTAGTTCAAACTTTTTATTCTAGTTTTCATAATAGTTGCCCTCTGAAGTACTGAAGTTGATGTTAGGAGAATATTCTATTGTCATTAAGAGAAAAAATAACCCTTGTACATATTAGTATTGTATAGAAGGTTTTGCCTATTTATATAGTGTGTTTATATAGTGGTGAAAAAATGTCCTCAAGTGAGTGGCATAACCAGTTTGCTGAAATTTGATTACTTTTTTATCCTTAACAAAGTAAAAGAAAAACTATTTTTGAAAGGGTTTAAGTATCTTAAAAACATCTATCTTTATTTAAGAAAGAAAATTGACTCTGTTAGAAAATAATTTCTTCATCGGCATCATCCAGGCATTTTCCTGGGATGTCTTCATGGTGGATTTGATTGGCTTACATACAATATGAAGCAACTTGTTTATTTTGTTCTTGCTTCTTTTGTTACAGTTGACGCAAACACTGAAGAAAAGGGCCTTTTTATGGGCAGAAAGTGCCTGGCATGTGGCTATCAACTTCAAACCACTATTCCTGTCTTTTTTGTAACTCTTGCTGCCAGGTCCCTTCTGAGACCTGACAGTGGATATGCAACTCCATGTCAGGATAATCGGCCTCCAATGTGCTCATACAAGTGAGGGAGGAGCAGAGAGCTACTTCAGTGTTGACAAAATTTCTGATCATGCAGTGTAGAATCCAGAGCTTCTAAGGTAGGACATGATAATGTCCCCTAGGACACTGAACAAAATGTCAGACACAGCACTGGGCATGACTCCTTTTTTTCTTGTTGCTGTTTTAGCAATAGGGTTTTTGGCAGATGTTAGAGTACCAGGTTTAGAATGGCTCTTTACTGTTATTCTTCGATTAGTGGACTTCTGGAGGAGTCATGCTTTTGACTTTGTTTTCTTTGAGGTTTCTCATACTTAATATAGATAGGCTTATTGAGTAGGGTTTACATTTTTCTCTTTGAGAAGTTACTGAAAACTTTCTTGCATTTGTGGAAAATTATGCTAAATGTATTTTGAAAGTTAGAGGCTTAACTGTATTAGGGACGATTGAGTTTTTAAAATAATTTTAACTGAAAAAGTATTGTCATTTTTTATATCAGAATATTAAAAATTTAAGATCTTGATTATTTCTAGCCAGGACAGTCTCTTCTGACATTCACATTTAGAGATGAGTAGTTTGTAGCCCATTAGAAGTTTAAAAAATAAATACCATAGGTAATAGGGTGATTTATGAATTTATTTAGATACTAACTAAGATTTTCATGAAGTAGTAGAATAAAAAACCATCTTATTAATGATTCAGAGAAGTTTTTGTCTAAGAACGGTTTTAACTTGTGACTAAATCAAATGTCTTAATGTGTGAAAATTTAGAATTTAAGCATATGTATCATGTGCCACTATGTCAAGTACTGTGAAAAGGACTTTTGAAGTGTATGATGTGCCCACCACATGCCAGGCACTATGAAAAGGGCTTTTGGAGGTATAACAAAATCAGGATTTTTGTTTCTTCAAGATTTAAGATTTTTTTTCTTCAGTGTTTAAAACAAGTAAATGATTTACTAGTGTTACTGAGATGTCAGTAGTAGTTCACTGATCCAAGGGAGCTTTGCGCTTTGATCACTGGATAAATATCTGAGTATAAAGAAACAACTTGAGTATTTACATTTCTAAAGTAAGATTTTTTTTCTCCTAGTGAAAAGTAGCTCAAAGCTATTTCTCATTTATGGGTGATTATTTCTTCAAAGTTAGATTTTGACCTAAATATTTCAAGGGTATCTTTAGTAACCCTGTGTTACTAAATGCATGAGTTGGTGTGCTTTCTCATAATTTGCCACCGATCTTTGATAACTGTCTCTGATTTGGGAACAGTATAGGATTATTAACTTGTAGGCCATATCATCACTGATGTCATGTATTTCTTTTGTATTCTTTTCTACATTTTCCCCCATTTGTCCTCTTGTTCTCTCTAGAATTCTATTTTTGTTTTTCTATATGGAGGCTGTAATTTAAAAAAAATTTTTTTTTTAATGTTTATTTTTGAGAGAGAGAGAGAGAGAGAGCGCGCGAGCGTGAGTGGGGAGGGGCAGAGACAGAGACAGAGACACAGAATCCAAAGCGTGCTCCAGCCTCTGAGCTGTTGGCCCAGATCCTGACTTGGGGCTTGAACTTGTGAGCCATGAGATCATGACCTGAGCCGAAGTCAGATGCTCAACCCACTGAGACACCCAGGCACCCCATGGAGGCTGTAATTTTAAACTTGTTTCTCAAATGCCACTATTGAATATACTCATGTTATCTTTGTATCTTAGAACTTATAGTTATGATCATACAGTTTATCCATTTACATTTCTCTCTCCTAGAGAAGATTAAGGTATCTAAGCTAGCTTTTTCTGTATTTTTTTCCCCATGTACCTGATGGTACCCCATGTACCCCCATGTATCATAGATATTCCTTGTTCAGCTGTATATTCTGTTCATTCTTAAACGTCTTTTATAGTTCTCTCCATCAAAGATACAGGGAGATCTTGTAGATATATAATTGTGTGTGTACCCTTGTGCTCATGTATTCACTCAGTTTTTACTCAGTAGCTTTGTACTGGTTGCTAGCATTCAGGATTAAACAATGTCACTACCCCGTCTATTTAGAAAACAAAACAAACTGTAATCTACTCTGTAAACTTCACAAAGAGTACTTCCAAGAAAGCTGTTCTCAGTGATGTGGGAAAAGTTGGAAGGCAATCTGTTGACATGTGTTTAGTTGTTATTTAGTGTTTAAATGAAACAAGTTAAAGTAGCTTTTAATAAAAAGTTTCCTTTAATTGACTCATTTAAAAAAATCAGTTATTGAACTGTTTTAAAGTAAAATGCTGGTTAATTCTTTATGCTTAGGTAAAGTTGATCTAAGTAGAAGTTAATGTTTTTTGGAAGAGAATCAGTATTTTAAGTTTCTTTCTACTCATGGATAAGAAATTATAACTTGGTAGGGCTTTGGTCTTGTATTTATCTTCTATCTATGTTGTATTAAATCTGTATATTACTAATAAAATAATTTTAAAGCTGTTGATATATAAGTGATAGATATTTTTGTTTCCTATTGAATAAATTAATTAAACTTACGTTTACTTATTTTTGCTTATTTCTTTTTTTCAGTGAATATTACTTCAGTGTAGAAAATTTGGAACGGGACTTCTTTCTTAGGAGAAAGATGGATGAACAGGGTTTCTTGCCTATTTCCCTGATTGCTGGTTTCCACCGTGTTCAGGCTCTCACTACAAACCTTAATCTCATTTTAGAGGTAATTATTCATTTAAAAAATAGTTGCAAAACAGTCTGTACTTTCCATTCAATTATGCTATTAAGTAACTCTCCTCTAAAAATTATATTAAAAACCTTAAAGGGGTGCCTGGGTGGCTCAGTTGGTGAAGCGTCCCAACTTTTGATTTCCATTCAGGTTATGATATCAAAGTCATTAGATCTAGTCTCCCTGCTTGGGATTCTCTCTCTCCTCTCTCTCCTCTCTTTCTCTCTGCCCCACCCCCACTCTCTCTCTCACTCTCTCTCTCTCAAGTATTTAAAAAAAAAAGGAGGGACACCTGGCTGGCTTAGTCTGTAGAGCATCCGACTTCAGCTCAGGTCATGAACTCATAGTCTGTGGGTTTGAGTCCTGAATTGGGCTCTGTGCTGACAGCTCAGAGCCTAGAGACTCCTTTGGATTCTGTGTCTCCCTCTCTCTTTCTGCCCCTTCCTTGCTTGTGTTCTGTCTCTCAGAAAATGAATAAATGTTAAAAAAAAAAAATTAGAAAAAAACGTAGGGAAAAAAAAGCAAAAGATAACCTGTAGTTACCTAAAGCTTAGACTACATCTCATGGCTGTTTTTCATTTTATAAAACCCAAATAAATTTCTAACCTTGGAGACCCCTCAAAGATTTACTAATGATGTTACCACCTGTTTTTAACCTGACCCTTCCTTCAAACTCGGACCTTCTTGAGTGTTTTTGGTTCTTTAAGTCTTCTTCAGGTTGCTGCAAAATGGCATGTATTTCTATTTATTAAAATTTTGAGAGTTTTTCATGTGCTATAGAAAGGGTAATTTAAAGCAGTCTTTCCAGATGTATTCTTAATGCTTTTATTAAATTTTTTGTCCTGCTCTAGAAATGCTTTGAACATTTTTGTTTTTCTGTTGCCTACATAGGTATAATCAAATTTGCCCTTTGGCTACAGTTTTGAAAGACTTGATATTGTCAGTTTTTTTGAGTAATAGATATGTAGTGGTTTTTTATTGAGGCTTTAATTTGCATTTCCCTAATGACTAATGATGTTGAGCATCTTTTTATGTGTGTATTTGCCATCAGTGTATCTTATTTGTTGAAATGTCTGGTCAGATATTTTGCCTATTTTTATTGGAGGGTTTTTATTTTTATTCTTTTTATTGTAAGAGTTCTTTGTTCTGGATACAAGTGCTTTGTGTGTATTTTACAGATTTTTTTTCCCCAGTCTTTGGCTCATGTTTTCATTTTCTTTTTCTTTTCTTTTTTTTTTTTTTATGTTTGTGTTTGAGAGAGAGGGAGCGTGAGCCAGGGAGGGGTAGAGAGAGAGAGACAGAGAATCCGAAGCAGGCTCTGTGCTGGCAGCAGTGAGCCTGATGAGGGGCTAGAACTCATGAACCATGAGATAATGACCTGAGCTGAAGTTGGATGCTTAACTGAGCCACCCAAGTGTCCCTCATCTTTTAATTTTCTTAACAGATTTCTTTGACTTTTTTAGCAATTTGTTTTGAGCAGGTGTGCTCCATGTTTTAAAAACTAGTTACAGGAAGAGTCAATATTTCAAAACAATATAAACTAGCGATTTATTTGTTGACATGTAATTAATGAGTCTTTGTTTTATGAAAGAAGTTACTTCAAACAGTGTCATTGTTGCATTTATTAATAAATACTATTTAAAGTTTCTTTGTAATTTTAAGAAGACTGTTTTTTCCTGCAAAGCTTAGTATTCATAAAAATATAATATTTGTAGTAGAATGAGTTTATTAAGTACTTCCATTGTCCGTGCTAATAGCAAAGATCTATTTTAGCTGTCATTTTCAATGAAGTTGTGACTGATTTCCCTGACTCTCTGTACTTTGTAGGAATCTGGTTATAATTTTATTATGGTATGTTTTTTTTGGTCTATTGGTATTCCCATTAAACCCTCAAGCATAATTTTCAAGTTATTGATTATCTGCTTCCTTACATCTTCTAGTAGAAGATGTAGTAGAAGGGAAGGAATATTTAAAAGAACTTTTGCATTACTGTTATGGTTACAATTATTGATAGAGAAGGAAATACTGCTATTGAAATACAGAAATACATAAGCACACTGATTTAGAACAGCATAGATCTGCATTCATTTAATATTCATTATGCACCTTTCCCACTGTAATGAATAGGAAAGTTGTCCTTTATCTGTTAAGTGGGAAAAATTGCTCTTTATCTGTTAAGAATGTAAGATTTCATTGGGTTTTGCAATATAAACATAGTAGTTTAGAGCATGGACTTAACAATCTGCATGCACATCCTTGTAGCTCTGTGACCTTGGGTAATGTCCTGAGACTTCTATAAAGTGGAAATCCTAACACTACCTACTTCATAGGGTAGTCCTAGAGATGAAATGTGTGATGACAGTATCTGGCACAAACAGTAAGCCTTAAATAATGATTTGCTGCTATTGTTAGTTTTCAAGGATGTCCTTCTACTGTTCATTCCTGTTTTTGGGATTTTCATTTACTTTCTACCAACTTTTTGCTATATGTAGCTTAATACGCTCAAATTTTTTCGTTCTTGAAAAGAACAATCAAAAGAGGTAAAATATACTTGAGCTCACACCCCTATCTGCCCTAGTTGAGGTTTTCCTTTGTTTTTTTTTTTGTTTGTTTGTTTTTAGTTTTATTTTATTTTGGAGAGACAGAAAGAGAGCACATGAGCAGGGGAGAGGGACACAGAGAGAGGGAGAGAGAAAGAGAGAGAGAGAACATCTCAAGTAGGCTCCATGCTCTGTGTGGAGCCTGATTCAGGGCTCTGTCCCTCAACCCCAGGATCGTGACCTGGGTGGAAATCAAGGCTCAACTGACTGGGCCATCCAGGTGCCCCTGGTTGAAGTTTTCTACACAGCCTATCTTACTGAGTCTGTTTAGTCCCATTCATTTTCAGCTTACTGTACTTTTTTTTTACTTTGATACATGAATATTGTAATATGATTACTGTTGTGATATTTATCATAATGTACATATGTACATAATTATAGTACAGTATTCTTGTCTATAGTCCTCATACTGTGCATGAAATCTTTGTCGATTATTTACTACTCATTGCAAGTTTGTGCCCTTAAACATCAGTCTTATCTCCCCCACCCACTGTTTCCTGGTAAACACTATTTTATTCTTTTTTTTATTTAAAGTTTCATGTTTTTAGATTCCACATATAAGTGATATCATGTAGTACTTGTCTTTCTGTCTCACTTATCTCATTTAGCATAATATGCTCAAGGTCCATCCATGTTGTTGCAAATGGCAGGGTGTCCTTTCTCTAGGCTGAATAACATTCTGATATCTATCTATCTACCTGTATATATCGATATATAGATATATATATCACATTCTCTTTATCCATTCATCTATTGATGAGTATTTAAATTGTTTCCATATCTTAGCTACTGTGAATAATGCTGCAATAAACATGAGCATGCAGATATCTCTTTAGAATCCTGTTTTTATTTTGGGGGGGTATATCCAGTAATTGGAATTACTGGATCATATGGTAGATCCAGTTTACTGCATTCCTGATTCTTGCTCCACAGCTGAGGTCTATTTGTGTCTTCCTTTTTTTTTTTTTCCCTTAATCCAATTAATCCTGGAACTTTAGCTAGTCAGTTCTGTAATTCTATTCAAGTTATTTAACCTCTTCATGCTTGTTTTCTCATTGTTAAAAGAGGGCAAATAATACTTAAACTATTATAGAGTATAAGGGCTTAAGGGAAGTAATTAATACAGTATTTGTGAAGTCCTTAGAACTATGCCTACTACTCTTATCTGAAACCTTGTTTCAAAATTGGCTGACTGTGGTTCCTCAGAATGTGTGCTGGTGTCTTATCTCTAAGTCTTCACACATGAAAATCTTTACTCTTGATACCAGGCATAGGACCAGGAACTAGGAATACATTATCTATGTATTCTAACGTTGGTAGTTTTTCATAATAATAGATACCATTAAGAAAAGGACCAGGGGTGCCTAGGTGGCTCAGTGGGTTGAGGTCCCATCTCTTGATTTTGGCCCAGGTTATGATCTCATGGTTTTGTGAGTTCAAGCCCCACCTTGGGCTCTGTGCATTGACTGTGCAGAGCCTGCTTGGGATTCTTCCTCTCTCTGCCCCTCCCCCACTTATGTTCGTGTTCTCTCTCTCTCTCAAAATAAATAATCTTTAAAAAAAAAAAAGCACCAACATTACTAGAAAAAGCTTCAGGTGTCTAGAAATGTTAACTGTACACTTTAACTCGTTTAGGAGTACAGGATAAACATGGTTTGGCTTTATTAAAACTCTTGTCTAGATCTTTTCCTTAATTTTGTGTAAGACATAATTTTTGTCTGATGCTAAATCTAAATCACAGCTTCTGGTCTCTTTATGTTCTTTTGAGCTTTTTTTTCAATAGGGAATAAATTCCCTGTGATTTAAGAATCAAAGATTATGTAGTGAAGAATTTCTTCCTTCCCATGTTTCTCCAACAGTGAGTTAGTTAAATCTTTCTTGGTGACTATCATTGTTACTTCTTTTCTGTTTATTAATTCTCCTGAGATAGTTCATGTTATACTACATACATATATTGTTATGTCTTTCTTTCTAAAAACAGTATATTTTAGAAGATTACTCAATAGTTGTATATAAAGAACTTTGGTTTTTTTCCCCTCAGATTTTTTCTTTTGAATTGAGGCATAATTTATACACTGTATGTTATAAATCATAGGATTATAGATTACTTTTCCCTATGAATATAGTTGTGTAACCAATACCCAGATTAAGATATAGAACATTTTCAACATCCCAGGCAGCTGCCTTGTGTCCCCTCCTAACCTGTACTACTATGCTCTTCTCAAAGGTAATTACTTCTTTAGAGTTCTCTCATTTGTTTTTTAACTTCACATAATCAGCGGTGTGTATATTTTTTTGTATCTGACTTATAGTTACCATTTCTGTGAGATTTATCCATGTTGTTGGTGTGTAGCGGTTGTTGACTATCCATTTTAGGTTAGTATTTCCTTGTATGAATATAATACAATGTACTTTTCCATGCCCCTGTTTGTAGATACCTGGGTTCTTTACAGTTTGAATCTGTGGTACTGTTGTGAATATTATTGTATGTATTTTTTGATGGACATATGTACTTTCTTGTGAAATGATGGGTGTACACACACACACACACACACACACACACACTTAGCTTTTGAAGATACTGCTAAGCATTTTTTCCAAATTAATGAACCAATTAAAACTACCACCATTGAGAGTTTCACTTGCTCCACATTCTACCAACACTATTGGCAGTCTTTTTCCAAACATGGTTTTGAAAAATTTAAACCATTAAGAAAGTTTCAAGGTTTTTTTTTTTTTTTTT